TTAAATTCATTAATCCTGATTTGTGAGTTTAACTTAATGCTGCAATTTAAACCAAATAATTATTTCACAATACGCAAGAAAAAAACGTTAAGGAGTAAAAAATTTGTCTCTTAGTTTCACTCACTACATCAAGTTATAACTACTTATTTCACTTTTGAATAATTTAAATTCCTGTTTTAAGTGGCACCAAAAAAAATTCTGATTTGATAATTAATTTGATTAAATATTACAATGAAATTTGCTCAAAATTATTTAGTGAGAACAGGACATTATCCTCAAAGATGTGCATTAAAATAAAATAAAAAATAAAAATTCAGTAACGCAGTTCCATCTCAGGATACATGAACTTGGCGCTAAGCATTCTGGGAAATAGTTCCCACTCTTGTCTTTTTTTTTTCTGTTTTTTTAAGTGCTAACCTAAAAACTCCAGTTTATTCAACTCTTGGAGGTTTGATGAAATTAATAAAACATTAAAACTTCCTGCTGTAAGTTTATCTTTCACAAACTCAAACATTTAGGTGAATCAGATTGATTTAATAAATTCATAATCATTGATTATGTCCTGATTTACTGATTTCTGGTGCAGAATTTTGACACGTTTCACATAATTTAGGTTAAAGTCGGATTAAATGCGACACTTTGAAAACTTTTGGACACGTGTCGGATCTTTGGCTCCACATGCGGACGCGGCTCAGATCGGACTCTTCGTGGGGTTGAAACCGTCAGAATCGGGCCGTTCAGACTGACGTGAGATGAATCGGAGTTTGGATGTGAATGAAGCCCAAAACCTGTTAGAGTTTAACTTTCAGGACACCAGTGTGCAGAAATGTTTGCACTTTTATTTTATCTCTACAAATAAATAAACTGAAAGCATTCCAAAGATTTTACTGGGCTTTTACTAAATTAGCAAATGCATCAAATTTAAGGAACGCATCGATATTTACGGTGATGACTGTTCCTCATAAATTCAGTGATTCATTCTGAAATGGTCTCTTGAGCAGATTTTACTTCCTTGGACAAAAATACAACCCAGAATTGTGTTGTATGAATATCAGCTCTCACTTAAAATGCAACTCTTTGCTGTGAGCAGATGAAAGCAAACATTTGGCTGCAGTGGCTGCGTTAAGCTTCGTCAACGCTTTTCGAAAAACTAATTAAAACTGGTCAGACGTCCAGGAAAAGTTTTTTAGTTTGGCTACCGACTTTTATTTGTAAAAAGGTTTGAAAACCATTCATCACTGAAGTTCTGGACGTCTGAAAACTTTTGCAGGGAATCGTTTTATTGAACCGTTTTATTCCCTCAATTAAGAAACAACAGAGAGCAGCAGAACAGTAATGGGATAGTTAATAATACAACGTCATGTTCCCCAGACGCATTTCCATCTCTTCTCTGCAGCTTAAATTCTTCATTCGTCTCCAGCTTGGGAGATTTTTGCTGACTGCTGTCGCTTATTTCCTTTAATTGATTAGAAACATTTCGTCTGTCACAGTTTTGAGCTCGTTGAGAATCATTTCAGCAATTTGACTCATAACGAGTAAAAAGAAAATGGCATTTCCGGTTTTAGATGTGAACACACTTATCAGCTTTTTCTCTCTCAAATATTTCACAGGAGTTTCATCAGCGGCTCCTGCCTGCTCTCTCCGTCCTCTAATGCCTTATTAACCGCTGGCAGCCGCCCTCCACTCCTCTGCATCTCCCACCTTTCCTCTCCACGGAGTCTGAAAGCATTTCTTATTTACAGCTCTGAGACGATGATCCCGCTGAATGTTTTGAAAGAAATCAGACTCTCAGCTGTCTGAGAGCTTCTTGTGCAAAGAGGCGGGACGTGCAGCTAATCCAGCCTTGCAGTGAAGCGTGTTCGTCTGCAGCAGGAAGGCAGACCGCTCATCGACTCCCTCCCAGTTTCTGTGAACTGGACGTCATGGAAGCACGGCGCCGATTAAGTTAAATCACAGAGTCACTGCAGGCTGCTGCAGCGACGCCACAGAACATTCAAAACGCTTCCAGTGCAAGTTGGAAATCAACATTTTGTTACTGTAAATGTAAAACAATGTAGGGCACCTACAAGATTTGTAGTTTATAGGATGAATCCTGTAGAAGTTTGCAGAATTGCCTTTATGTAATCCAACTTCTGCTTTTCTAAACTCAGTTTCATAAAGTTTTCCATTAAAGAAATATACATGCCTATTTGAATTTTAGCATCTCTGTTAAAAAAAATGCTGAAGTTAGTTTTAAATGAAGGGGCTGCTTTAATTGTTTAAGCTTTACATTATGTTTTAAGGTTCTTCTGGAGTTCTGTTTCGATTCTTTCATGCATGTTTTAGGAATCCTCAAACAACTCTCCTCTGCCCAGCTCCTCCAGACTAGCGGCAGCAGCCATTAGCAAACACCTGGTGGAGCTACTTCCCCCCTACTGAGATCACCATGCAAACTGCTTATCAGTTTAACAGTCATGAGGATGTCTGTAAATGTAATATTAATGGACTATTGATCAAGCTTCTTAAAGAGACAGAGACATGATTTAAAGGTGCTAAATGGCAAAATACTTATAGCATTGTTATAAAATTGTGATTGTGAAAGAAATGGCTTTATGTATCTGGAAAACACATAATATCGGTCAACTAGACATAAAAACAGTCCGTAGGAATGAGTTTTTGCAATGTACATCTCAACCCTTTTTAAAATTTACAGCTTAAGCTCAAAATGTAACAAACTGAAATGAACCCAGTATAATCTGGTTTATAGATTATACTGAGTTCATGAAATCTGTAGTTCCTGATCATATTTTTCTAATATTTATGGAGGAAAACCTCCATGTTTTGCTCGTCAGGGCTCCACCTTCACCATCTCTTGTGCTCCTGAGAAGGAAAACCGTAGATTTGATGCTTTTCCTTTGAGTCCAGCCCAGATTTGTCCCCGTCATTCCCTTAATCCGCCTCTCGCTCCGGCTTTCATCTGTCTGGCAGGATCCGTCTGCTGCAGAGAGCTGGAAGCAGCAGGGAGCCGCCATGTAGATGGAAGTGCAGAGACAGATCGCCTTGGGGTTCGTTTCCAGCTCTGTTCTGTTTCACATCTCCATCTCACTGGATTCATCTGCTTCCTCATTTCACTCTCTTTCTGTCCCATTAAGTCTCAGCTTTTGTGTTTGCTTGTTTTGTATCCAGCTCATTATTCCTCTCTATCCCTTTTTCTTTTCTCACTGTTTCATTTGATTCTCCTGAACAGACCTCTGAGCGGCTCTGCTTCCCATTAAGCTTCAATGGTTTTCCTGTTCGACTCCCATTTTTAACAATAAGAGACAATAGATGAATGAAAACTACAAAAAGTTCCAACATGTTTTTGGTATTTGGGACATATTTTTGCTAAATGTTATATTGGGAACAACTAAAAACCGTTTCCATGAATAATACTGCAAAGGTTTTAAAAGCGATATAGTGATTGTTTCTGTTTTGTCAAATGGTTTCATCAGACCATAACTTTTCTTTTGGGGGAAACTTCTTCAACCTTTTAGCCCTTATCCTTTGTCCAGATAAATGGGGAAATGGGAGGAATGAGACAACCATTACTCGTTTGACATCGTGAACTGCAAAAACACAAAATGTCGCCAAATATGTTTGGTCTAGTTTCTAGTGCAACTACCTTAGCATTCACTTCTGCTAAATACCATGTTGGTACAGTGCTTTAGCATTAGCTTCTGATAAATAACATAATGTTATAGTGCTTTAGCATTAGCTTCTGCTAAATATCATAATGTTATAGTGCTTTAGCATTAGCTTCTGCTAAATATCATAATGTTATAGTGCTTTAGCATTAGCTTCTGCTAAATATCATAATGTTATAGTGCTTTAGCATTAGCTTCTGCTAAATATCATAATGTTATAGTGCTTTAGCATTAGTTTCTGCTAAATATCATAATGTTATAGTGCTTTAGCATTAGCTTCTGCTAAATATCATAATGTTATAGTGCTTTAGCATTAGCTTCTGCTAAATATCATAATGTTATAGTGCTTTAGCATTAGTTTCTGCTAAATATCATAATGTTATAGTGCTTTAGCATTAGCTTCTGATAAATACCATAATGTTATAGTGCTTTAGCATTAGCTTCTGCTAAACACCATGTTGGTAGAACATCTTAGCATTAGCTTATGCTAACTACCATGCTGGTATAGCGCTTTAGAGTTAACAGAACTAACTGAGTGGTGTCCACCTCTGCCTGTTTTAATAAATTACTCCCAAAGTCCGTGTTGTGGGTCATTTTTGAGCCTTCACAGTGTTCAAGCTATCATGCAATAATCAGATTTATTTATTTGCTTAAGTGCTGTGTGTCAAACTACTTTTGTATTTCCAACTCAACACATCAGAATAATGACTCCTTGTTGATTGTATGCAGGAAAGCAATAGAAAACCTGTTCCAAATGTGTGTGTCCTTTATTTAACCAGAAAATTCACTCAGTGAGGTTAAAAGTTTGTGCAGCATTTATATCGACTGCTACGAAGCTACACTTTCCAGTTTGAAAGTTTATTATTGTTTTGCTGAAGCTAGTATACATGATATAAACCGCATTCATCTTGTCTGATGTCTTTATTTATCTCCCGTGAATAAAGTTTGCAGGTCAGACGCCGGGTGGATAACTGCTCGCTTACTTTGATCTTACAATATAGACACTGAACTGACATTTAAAAACAATTTGCTATCCAGTCGGGGTAAATTAGAGGAGAAATGTAACATTTAGTTTATTAAAGCCACTCAACGAAAAAATTGCACAACGGGGCCATAAAACCGGCAGCACAGCCGTCAGGGTCACCATATAAGAGAAGAACGAATACGCTGACATTTAATGCCCAGCCTTGAACGTGAAGACTAATTATGCAAAAACAGCTCCGTCCATTACTCCGCTACAGTATCTAACAACAACAGGCAAAAGGTCAAGCTTAGCGGTGAAGCAGCCACCCTTCAGACATGAAAACACAAACCACTTCGGCTCGGTTGGGTCCCTACCTCCTTCTGGTGGTACTTGATGGCGAGCTTGAGCTTGGCCAGGTCGTGGCACTGCCTGGGGTCCAGCTCCTCGCTCTGGTCGTTGTCTCTGTGGTTCAGGATGGTCTCCAGCTCGCGGGAACTTCTGGCCTGATCCAGGAGGTCTTTGGCGAATCGTTTGCACTGCTGGGAAAGCTCTTCGTACTCCTGGCGAAACTCGTTCTCCACCTGGAACGTGGGGATGATGATGATGAAAACATGGAGGAGCAGCAATCCCTCGCTGCTTTCCTGTCTTTTTGTTCAGGAGGCTCCACTTCTGCTTTTCAAAGTTCACATTTGTATAATTGCAGCCATTTTCTCAGGAAAGTTGAACTTAAGATGAACTTATTTGGATTTACAGTGACAGAGGCTCATTCTGAAAGGAGCTCAGAACGAGGCAGGACTGATCAGACTGAAACCTCATTAGCATAACTCCGCCCCCAGATGAAAAGCTGCCTCGGTGCGCATATTGAGGCGTAATGGGAGCTGATTTCCATACCTTGCTCAGCTCTTTGAGTTCCCAGCCCAGTCTGAAAGCAGTGAGGATGGGATCCTCGCTGGACAGCGCGATGAGCGACGGCGACGCCAGCGCCTTGTAGATGTTGAGTCGAGACCGGGAATGTCGAAGGCTGTCGACCTGCCAGGGATTAATAATACAAGTCTGCTCTCTCAGTGACCAATAAACTTTAATTTTGTCAAGAATGCTCAACACTGGAACTGGAAGATATTTTAAATATCCAAAATAAAACACAGGAACCAAAAAAAAAACAATAAATAAAACAACAAACAACAGGAACCATAAATAGAATGGATTATGAAGTCATTGGCCTTTGGAAAATATTAATAATCAAAATTCATCATAATGTTAATTGATCATTGCCACATTATACTGTACAGCTACTTCTATGGAAATCTCACAACTTACTTGGATACAACTGATAACTTTCTTAATAAAACGGTGAGCAATCCTTCTTTTATTTTACATTTTAAAGAGACATAATTTAGAGTGAGATTAATTGTATTTAATAAATTCATTTTCTCCAAATCAGAAACCAGGTAGTGGCTGTCAGTGGAGAAACATCGACTGACCTCTGAACTGGAAACACACTCAACGCAGTCGCATCGTATCTGGTGCGGCCTTGGGATGGTGACCTAAGAAAAGACGAACAGCAAATCAGAACAGGAAATAAAACAGCATAGACGGGTCGGTACCCCTGCAGCGTGACGTCACGCCCCCAGCTTCCTAAGCTGCTTGCTAACAATAACTAGCATTGGTTTGTCAACATAATGTGCTAAATCTTAACCGTACGCCTGATATATAAAAGACAAAGGGACGCAGTGCTTTCATTCTGTGACAACTAGAGAACAAGGTCAGAAAAAAGTTTTAATTAAGAGAAAAAAATAGCAGGGGAAAGGAAAGTAGGTCAGCTACGCTAGCTTGACTTTGACAAGCTAACATGTAGATGTGATGTGGAATTTGTTGTGCTTAGGTTCAGCTTAAAAAATAAACAAAGGCGACGTGGACACCAGCTGACAGATCATCAGTAGAGCAGCCATTTAAATTAGCTGTGTTAGCTTAGCTAGCAGCAGCGGTAGCTAATCTACCACAGCGATCACTTATTAGTCATCGCAACATAAACATCAAGCATAAAAACCCAAAACTGTAACGGATTTAATGTTCTGTTCTCCATGTAGGAAATGTTTGAGTGTTTTTGGTGTTGAAACATAAAGTGGGTTCATGTTGTCAGTTGCACAGAGAGAGAAAAAAGTTATTTTAAGTTGCTTCTCAAGGGTTTTCATGCTATTTTTTGCCGTTGCACACTGCACCAAATTAACAATGCAAACGTCTGAAGGTTTGTAAGGACGACATGTACCAGCGTTGTGCCTTTGCGCTGAATATCCGCATGCAAACAGTAACATGCTTGTTACAGAGTCATTACCTTGCGCTGGACAAGCAGCTTGATGATCTCGTAGTTGTTGGTGTGAGCAGCGAGCATGATGGGAGTTATGTCGGGGGTGAACTCTGAGAACTGGCTGTCCATCATCAGGGAGGGAACCTGAGGGGAAACCAAAGCGATTTGTCTCAACAGAAGGACAAGAGCAGATGATAAACATCTAAAGACAAGTTGGACAAGACAATAATGCATTTGAACTTCAAGAAACCGTTTACTGATCACAACCTGGAAAAACTGGAATGATAATAAAAGTTTCTCAGGTCTGTTGTGGTGCAGAAAGAGTTAAATAAAAGAGCTCAGTTTACTGTTGTTTTTTTGTGCTTCATCAGCGTCTCCTCTGCTCATGAGATAAAAACAGACACAACCTGAAGTGGAAATAAAGCTTTCTGAGTTACGTTGGAGCTCCAGAGGTGGACGGCGTAATCGTTGCTCACCCAAACAAAATGTGAACCACGAAAGGAACTATGCGCTAACTCTATGTGGAGGTCTTATATGTGGCAGAGTCCACATTTCTACAGCAACCCTAACGACTAGCCTGTAAATGGAAAGAATCCTGGAAGAATGTTTCAAAGGTAGGAATCTGGTCCTGCACTGAGAAAATATCCTGGATCCTAAAAAATGAGCAGCTCCAGAGATTTACGAATGGAAAGCAGCTCGGGATCCAGGGGCTTTAGCTTCGGTTTTGTTTGTTTCAATGAAATAAGAGACTTTAAGAAAAGCTGCAGGTCTGGTGAACATGTTTGTTCTTCATTCAATGGGCAGAAAATCCAGAAATTCACTCAAGTAAGAGCAGAAATACTTCATAATAAAATAATATTTTCATTTATGACGATGAGATTTGTTTGTCTATTTTAGTGAATCCACTCCCCTCAACTCACTGCATCTGGCTGAAAAGTTATTTTTGTCTGTTTATGGTAGAAACTAAACCAAAAATACTCAGACAGATTTTGTGTTTTTGCAGTGTAATGTCATTTTTTGGTGGAATTTAAATAAAATATCCCAAATATATGATATCTGGATTTGTTATCATATTTATTGTCAAAACTTCAGTTATTTATTGTTTTGGGTTTTTTGAAACCATTGTGGAATGGTCACCATCACTTTAACAAAGGTAAACTTTGCATAAATAAGACAGAGACTCTGAAGGTGCTTGAGGAAGACGAGGGGATGAGGTGAGGAAGAGGACAGAACATGTGTGAAGTCTTTCATCTCAGAGGGAGGATGAGGAAGAGGCCTTCTCTTCATCTCTCTCGTCGCATCATCACACCTCTCCTCCATTCTTCCTGCTCCTTCCCCGCTGCTTCATCCCCATCCCTCTCTTCCTCCGACCCGCTGTCGCCTCCGTTCCCCATCTGCCCCGTCTCTTCGTACCTCTCTGCCCCGCCTGCCAAAACCTTTTACTCATCTGTTCGTTCTTCCTCCCCGTTCCCTCCTTCTCCAGCGGCGAGAAGACGTGTGAAAGCAGCTGCTACGAGTCCGGCTCGGATTAAACACAAAGGTACGGAAATAAAGACAAATCTAAGCAAAACACTGGAAAACGATGCAGCGAAAGAGTAAAAGAAATGTCTGGTTGTGTGGAGGAATGTGTTTTTGATTAAAATATGCGACAAACACGTTAAGAAACAGGTTTGCTAATTTGCTAAAAATGAACATGATTTGCATGCTGTTGTATCTGCAGTCTGGTCACAACGTTACACTGCAAAAACACAAAACTATTTTCATCTGGTTTCTGGTGAAAATATCTCAGTTTACTGGAAATAAGACAAAATTAACTTACAAGCAACTTTTCAGCAGAAAATAGCTTGTTTCAAATCAATAATTTCTTAATGTTGATACTAGTTATAATGGCAGATTATTTCACTTAGAACATTTTCGCTTGTTGTAAGAAATTTGCACAAAGAAATATGTGAAGATTTTGTGTTTTTGCAATGATTGGGTTTTTGCTGCTGATACGTTTAGTTATATTTTTCAGTATTTTCTCACAAAGTGCACTTATATTTTCAGTTTTTTCTATAAATTTGATATTTTTCATGTAATATTTCTCTATCCAGAGACATCAGGGTGAAAATAGCGCCTCAGTTACGTCTGTTGAATCGCAGAAATGTTTGTTATTGTAAAATATCTTTGAAAAATAAAAAAAAAACAAAACACTGAAGTCATTGATGTAACTCTTTGCTTTCCAGCAGAAAACAAACTCTCCATTGCCTTGTCGGGAACCGGATGGGCCAGAATTTCAATGAAAACGTTACTTTAGGAAGAACCTGTCAGTTTAGTTTCAGGTTGAAACCGAACCTGGAGACTTTCCAGCGTCCAGTTGTGTCGTTTCTCTGACCAGAGCGACGTCTGAATCCATTACAGCAGAGAGAAAAGCTGATAAACTGCAGCTGGAGCTCCAAAAATCAATTAGGAGCAAATCTGCAGAAAGTGAGCGCAGCAAATTCTGCTTTCTGCTGACCCAGTTGGAGCATATTTTGGTTCATACGCTCCGGTTTACAGTAAATAAAAGTGAAATTGTGGCTGTCACCAAATACAGACAGCAAACTTAGACAAAAATCTATTTTGGACTCCAGTTCAGACTGAAACTCTTCAGACATCAAAGTGAAAGTCATTTCATTTCCTTCCCTCCATCTTTTTCTCCATCTCTTAAAAGGACACAGTTCCTTTTTTTATTTTAACTTTTATTTCTATTTTCATTGAAATAGCAGTGACTGGTGAGCTTGTTGCACATGAAGCCAGAAAACATCCCATTTAAATATCCAAATGTAAAAATCAGGACGTAAAAATGCTGCTTAGTCATCAATTTTAATTCTAAAAAGCCACTACGGTATAAATAATAGTAAATACAATAAAAGGAAATACAGAGGAAAACTTTAAGAGGTTCACGATCATAAGATCCAGTTTACAGGACAGAGAAAATAAAAAACACAAAATAAAAGTTTCTGAATTTTCCTGGTCAAAATTTGAACTTCAATGTAATTAAAATGTTTTACTTTTATTTTAAAATACATTACTTTAGATTTTTTTTACATTTTAATTTAATTGTAATAACATTTTTTATAAAGTTTTTAAAATAAAATATTTACTTTTTTATTTTTAAATATAATTTTAAATTTTTGTTAATGTTAATTTTTAATTATTAGCATATCTACTTTAAATTTGCACATTTTTGTTTAACGTTTTAAAAATATGTTTTTAATTATTTTATTATTATTTTACATATCTATAATGTTGTTACCATTTTGATTTAATAAATTTTTTTTTAAATTTTGTTTTGTCTTTTTATTTGATGAAAAAGCGTCAAATGTGAAAGAGAAACAAAACAGAATAAATCTGAATTTTTTATGCAGTTACATTTTTGCTTTTCTTTTATCTATAAAAAACAGAACAAAAAATGACAGAAAAGAGAAAAAATAATCAAAGAATCAAGAAAGCACAAAAGTGAGAAACATTCCCACAATCCTCTGTTTCAGGCTTGTAGTCATGGTGATACAGATTCCTCAAACATGAACTATCAAAAAAAAAAAACAGTTTAGAGGACAAAATGATTCATTTTGTGTTTTTCTTCTTCTCTTTTCACTCCTTCATTGCTTCTCTCTCTCTAATCTCTCGCTCCGATTTCCTCTGAATGAACGGATGTTTCCGCACTTCACTGAAACAGAGGATTCTGGTCTTTTTCTCAGAGAAAACACAGAAATAATAAAAATGCATCATGCAGACAAACATCCTCTGTCTGCAAATCCTATTTCACACGTTGTCTGCTAAAGAGCTCTTTAATTTTCCTCGTCTCAGCAAAACGCGGCACGAAGCTTTGCAATGAATGAATGTGCAGCTCATTATCTCTCCCTCACGCATTCAGATGGGAAAACAAAAAAACGTGAAGCGCCGATGAGTAACGGGAGACGAGCCACCGGAAAACCGGAGAGAAAAAGGTTTGTTTTTTTGTCATGTTTTAAGACGGTTTTTCTTGCAAATTTGGACTTCACAAGATTTTTTTTAAACAAAATTTCAGAGATTAATTTCTGAGTTTTCCTAGAAATGTTGAACATTCATAAGATTAATCAGTTTTTTTCTTGTAAACTGTTGACTCCCCATGTTTTTATTTTCAGACATTTTTTAAAATTAATTTTCAGACAAATCTTTGACTTCTCAAATTCAGAAATTTCAGTATTTTTTCCTAGAAATTTTCTGAACCTAATTTGAGAGTTTCTCAGTTTTTTTCATGAATATTTTCAACTTTTCAAACTTAGAAAATTCTGCATTTTTTTTTCTTGAACATTTTTTTTGATTTACCGGAAAATTTCTGAAGTTTTTTTTCTCGTAAATTTTGACCTTTTCATGTTTCTTATGGTTTTTTAATTTTATGTTTTCAAATTCAGAAATTTCTGGGTTTTTTCCTAGAAAATTTTAGAAATTAATATAAAAATTACTGAGCTTTTTTTCTTTCCAAATTTTTGACTTTTCAACATTTGTTTTTAGAAAACTTTAGTTTTTACTTGGATATTTTCAACTTTTGAAACTCAGAATTTTTTCTTGTACGTTTTCTCTGAATCCACCGTGACGTCACACGCCGTCGTCCTGAAGTTTCCGCCGTGGGCTCTGAGCTCACCTGCTTCTCGCCGCTCGGCCTCCGGTGCGACAGCAGCAGCTCCACGGCGCCCACCACCTCCTTCCTGATGGCGTACAGCAGGGCGTCGCCCGTGTGGATGCCGTGGTCCAGCAGCAGCTCCATGATCTCCAGGTTCTCGTTCTCGATGGCGATGAGCAGCGCGCTGCGGCCCAGCGGGTCCAGACAGTTCACGTCCATGTTGTAGTAAACCTCGGCCTCGCGGAGGGCGTGTTTCACCCCGGCGTAGTCACCTGAGGAGGGAACGCAGACAGGAAGCTGAAGCCTGGGCAGTGGATGTTCACTGCAAAAACACAAAGTACCACCAAGTATTTCTGTGCAAGATTCTCACAAGTAACTTTTCAACAAGAAATTGAAGCCTTAAAGTCAAGAATTAGTTTTTTTTTAAGCACTGGCTTCACTGGAAGATTATTTCACTTGTCGCAAGACGAGTGGAGCTTCTGATTATTAAGGACTTATTGACGGCACAGTAGCTTGTGAACTTGTTTGGTTTTATTCCAAGGGTGATAAAAGATTTGCACAAAAGAATAAACAAAAAATACTTGGTGAGATTTTGTGATTTTGCAGTGTTTCTCTCAAGCCCTGCAAAATTCACAAGCAAGATGTGAGAACGTAAGTAAATAATTCCTTGATGTTCATAAAAATTTGTTCTGTTGGCAGATAAATTTACTCATAACGTGTGAGGTTCTCCATATTAAATGTAAAATAATCTGCCTAAGAAACAATAACTTTTTCCATCAATAACAAGGAATTATTGATTTGAAACAAGTTTCTATATCCTGCTGAAAAGTTCCTTTTAGATTTTGTCTTAATTCAAGTTTATTCAGATATTTTCACTACAAATGAGACTAAAAGTACTTGGTAACATTTGGTGTTTTTGCAGTGCAGTTATCTGGCCATCTTATTTAAATCTTAGAAGAAAAACCTCTTGAATCTCTCACTATCAGCCGGTTTTATTCGAATGATTTACTGTAAACATGACACAGCTGCTCAATTTGTTTTTGCTCTGAAAGAGGCGAACGGCGGCAGTGAAGGACATCCAGATGGTTTGCTGCGGACGGCGCTGCACAGCGGCTGACAGCCTGAGCGACCGGCTGCTCGGCCATCAGCACCGTTTCACGGGTGACTGGCCGTCCTCGGCCCAGGTGTGCAGGGAACAGACTGATAAACACGCGGCTGCAGGAGCTTGTCCTCGCGTGTCGTACCTTTCTCCACAGCGGTGAGGTAGGCCCGCTCCTCGGCTGACAGCTCCACTTCAGCTCGGACGATCTGAAGAGGGATGCGGTCGCGATACGGCGAATATGTCGCCTGCAGACGGAGGGATAAGAGATTAAGAGACGAAGGAACTAAAATCATTAAAAAACTGCTGAACCTTCATCAAAATGCGATTTTCTTAAATGAGTTTAAGTTTGTGCAGATTAGTTATTAGTAGTCAGTACCCTACCTACAATTGACAGCCTTGACAGAAATCTCAACTTTGACAATTTTTCTTTTTTTTTTTTAAGTCAAGTTACAAATCATGAGAAATTTCCAACATTTAAAAAAAAAGAAGTTGTTTTTCCTTCACATTTTCAGCTTAGCGTTATGCAGTTGTTTGCACTGTTGCCATTTTCTCGATTGAAGTTAATCCATTCCTGTTTAGCTGTAGCAGCTTCACTTAATCTGTGATGTTTTTCTCATTTCTGAGCATTTTAATTGTCCTGAGTTGTTTGTAGCTTGCATAGTAACTTCACTATTGCTCTGAAAATAATTACTAGTCATCCTCAATATACATTTAACTTCATTTAAATTTAAGATTTTGAGTGGAAGCTGTTAATACCTTAAATGACAATCAGTTAATTGAATGATAAATTAAAATGAGATCCACATAATTAGTTTTGAAACTAAATGTTTGTTTTGTTGTTATTATTGCTGGTGTTTTTAACTCACCTTTTTGTAGTACAGCTGTGTCATTGGATTCATCTGGACAATCTGGAGGAAAGGAAGGAGAGAGAAAAATTAAAAGTTAATACTTAAAACCCAGAAAGGAGAGCATGTTGATCAGGGCGGCCGCCCAGGGCGGCAGTAGAACCAGGAAGGGAATAACAAAATCTAGTCATATGTCATAGGAACATTTAATGAAATGTTATTTAATCCCTTTAAAAAAAGATACAGTGCTTTCAGACCTTGAATAATGCAAAGAAAATAAGTTTATATTCATTTAGAAACAACAAAACTAATGTTTTAGCTCAGGAAGAATTCAGAAATCAGTAATTGGTGGAATAACTGGGAGGTTTTCAGTGTGGTTCAGTGCAGTGGGCTTTTTTCCAGAGCTGCATGTGAAAATACAAGAAAAATATCATTTATTGCCTGAAAATGTGGAAATCTTTGTAATTTGACAGAAAATCAAAGGAAGAAGACAGAATATATTACGAATAAGAAGAGAATAAAGAATAAAAGTAAAGTAATATAAAAACAGTGTCCTTCAGACCAGAGGAATGTGTTAAATTGTTTTTTAATCAGAAACAAAACATATCTGAGAGAGAGACTATTTACAATTAGAAACGATTCAAATTGCAGCAAACATGAATCAGAAACTGCAGGTTTTCAGCCATTTTTGTGTTTGAACACGTTGAACATGCCGCGGCTTTGTTCTGTATTATGTATAATCTTGTCAAAAGCTGACAGGAAGCAAATGTCTGCCTGTATGTTGAGTCAAATCAGCCGTCAGCACACAGAGAGCAGATACGTCTCCTCCCACACCGACGCCCTCTCCTGTTATTACATGTAATCCCATAAACCTAACGCAGCCTAACGCCTCTCGTTTGCACGTGTGTGTGTGTGTGTGTGTGTGCGTGCCTTTATTTGTTGAGGACTTTACACACATTAACTTGCTGCACCATAATTACCCCGTATTTGTTTATTTTGTGAAGCAGCGTTCAAGGCAGACGATGCACTTTCTACGCTCTCCGGCGCGGCGCAGCATTAATTTTACATCAGTGGGACGCAGTCGAACCGAATGCTGATGAAGAAAAGAACACAATGATCAATCTGCATGTGTGTGCCAGGGTGAGAGAGGGCCTAATTAAAGTACGGGGTTGTTTCGAAAGCCAGGGAAAAAACCTGTTAATCTCAAAAGAAAAGCTTTGAGCTTGTTTTACATCTGAACGTCATTCGCTGCAGTCATTAGACAAACTGCAGTCTGCGCAGGTGTTCGATTCCAGCTGTTCTCTCAGCAGAGGACGAGAAGGAAAGTCACAAATTATTCTCCAGGATTATATGAGCACATTTTATTAAGCCTTTTATTGCCTCTCACTCCTGCTCATCTTTATCGACCGTCTCGCAGCAGCTGCAGTGATCAGTCCTGGAAGTTTATCCTGCGCCGGCTGGCAACCGACGCACACTTTGATCATTAAAGTCATAATCTGATGAGACCGAAGGTGTTTAAACAGGATATGTTTCATTTGGCTGTTCTTAATAACACTTTAGGTTTTTTAATAGTCAACCAACAAGAAACAATCCAGGTCAACTGCCGTTTTCTGTTAGATATTTAAAGGGGCGTTTCATGCTAAATTTACATTTTGTGCAGTTTTTGTACTTCCTTTTGGTTCCTAACTGCTTCTGAAAGCAACCCAACTGCCTAGAAGAACCACCTGAACATGTTTAGCAATAAGTTGATGTCTTTTGGTGAGCCATTTTGAAAAACTCCCAATTGTTGAGTCACACTGCGCCATTTCCTAGCAACCCAAGCAGAGTTCGACAATGTTTGTTCAGGTGGTTTTACCGCTGTATGTGCTGTACAATGGCTGCTGGAAAAGACGAAAAGTGTTTTGTTGTCACAACTGAGAAACCACTGGCTACATTCTCGTTGGTTGTGGAGGAGGCTCCACTTCTGCTGTTCAATGACATACAGTTGTATAATTGCGCATCTGCTTGCAGCCATTTTTATGTGCGTGTGTAAAAGTTGAGCTAGAGAGTGTGGCCTACTAAAAAAATCTTTTTGGACGTCTAAGCAGCTTCATGTAGCATCTGGATCAATTAACCACCTCATCTGGACCCGATTTCACTGTGTAAAAATTGTGGAATATCTATAGAAATGTCCATAATTGATCTTCCTTTGTATTAAATACACAGCAGTTTTTCAGTACTTTTTCTAGGCCGTGGTACGATTGGACTTTAGCTCTGACAATTGGTCCAAACTTCTTTTTAACTCAGCAGAGGCCATTTAAATGGTTATCTAGTCATGAGATCCAGTTATGAATTTCTACTGCAGTTACAGCTCCTGACCGTTAAACTGCTGTGGTTTTAAGTGAGAGCAGCGGCGTTGCAGATGGTGGCCGGACTGCAGGCTCATCATGAACAGAATCTCACAGTCGATGACAGAAATGTCGACGCCGCAGATCCGAGTCAGGGACTCGGACCGCTGGAGAAAATTGAATCTGCTACGACACAGATCTGCATCTCAACGAGGCTGTAATTGGTTTATGTTCGAGGCAGCGGAGTTATTCTTCAGAGACTGTGCTGGTTAAACATGAGTAATGGATATAGACTTTTTTGTTTCTTTTTGATTTTTGGGATGGCGCGCTACACGAACGGCGAATTTACAAATCAGCTGAGGGAAAACGAACGTGAAAAACCATGACGGTTCAAAATGATGCAGCTTTAAGATGCTTGTTTTGATGTTTCACGTGTTTTCAAAAACTGCTGCTTTGAGAAATTCTATCATAACATTATAAAATGATGTTGATATAAGGGAAATAATCTGCCGGTGTAACTAATACTTCTAGTATTAACTAACTACCTTATAAGAAGCTGCAATACTTTTCTGAAATGTTTCACTGCAAAAACAAAACCTTGCCAACTATTTTTGGTCTAATTTCTATGTAAAATATTCACACTGATCAATCCCTCCAGGATTACACGATTGTTTTGTTTTCATTTTCTACAATCAAAATGACATATTTTGTGTTGATGTAGAAATATCTGCAAAAAATTTTGCGATATTTGCACTTACTGTATGTAAGACAGTAAATGTGACTTTTTGTTACGTTCCCTGTCGATCGCAGACAACAACGTTAGATCAAGACTGAGCAGGCAGTTTAAAATATACTGCCACCTGCAGGCGGGAGTTAACAGTATTTGACAACTTTTAAAGGACGTATGCTATAAAAACTATATTAGAGCCACTGAAAGAAAATAATAATCTCAGAAATCTGACAGAGTTTTTATTCTCACTTGTCAAAAAAAAGCAAAACTAATGCAGTGGTTAGTTCAATTTGTGTGAATTTGCACAGTCATAGAACTGCAAAAAATTGGAGGAACTGATTGATGTAATTTGGCACCAAACAGATAAAAACTGCTTTGATTTGATTTTTAATGTAATAATTATTACTATGAAGGCCGAATTTGGCCCCTGGGCCTCGAGTTTGAAACCTCTGGATAATGTGGCTGAAAAACATGTCACAATATAAGCATTTCACATCAGTTGATATTGGCAATTATTGATTAGCTTTTTGTTTTAACTGTCTGAAATACTGCCAAACTAGGGCCAACGTTGCTTTTAGTTTTTCAGCAGCTATGAGGCCCAGAGGCGTTACTTTCCTGTAGCTGATCTTTTCCTGAACACCGCAGATCTGATTTTTTTCAAAAGCGACCCAGATCATATGGACATGTGGTTCTAAATCCGATTTACCTTCCGGATCTTTTTAAATCTGCACTGGCCTGAACGTCATTGACACTCGACAAACGTCACTATTCTGAGCAAGCGGGAAGAAAATCAACAAATATGGCGGACGACAGCGAGATTTAAGCTGTTACTGTGCTGCTCCGGTTAGATGGCAACTTTAAAATCGTGAGCAGTGCTCCATCGTTAGCATCCACTTCTTTTCATGGCTGCTGGTGAAACGCTGAGACGTTATTGCGCCCTCTACTGCGCAGGCGGGACACTTTCCACACGTTGCATATCTGGAAGTGTGAAAGCAAAAAATTGATTTCACAAAAAGTTAGATTTGGGTCACTTCAGGCTGCAGTGACCTCAGAGACTGCAGCCTGACAAATTAAATTAATGCCTAGAAATATCTGAACCGTCTTCCTGGCCTCTTGAAGACCCCAAACATTTCCACAAACTCACACCCACACTGCGGCCCCAGACACTTGTAGCTCTTCATCCTGTCAAGTTCAAGCACAGTTTGCCTCTTTGAAGAAGAGTGACAAATCACTGTCGGGGAGAGACACACACACACACACGCACACACACACACACACTCTCACACACACACACACGTCCCCTGAATCCCAAATCGGAGCCGGCAGAACTCCCTGAATGACCAGCTGTCAGGTTATCTGCGCGCCGGCTCGAGTCGTTGCAAATCAAAGATCTATTCATCAGAGGATCAAGTTTGTAGAAAGAAGAAAGAGAACGTCTCCGCTGTCAGCTCCGCCTTTATCAGCGGCTGACAGACAAATTATTGCCTCCAGATACCACCGATGTCAAGCGCACTAAAAATGACTGACTCCGACTGCTGAAGGCAGCTTTGGAGTAGAAGTGTTTCCAGTGATTACTCAGAGGCAGGAGCTGCAAAACACCAACGGGTCCAACATTTAAGATCACTTTTCTTCTTCTTTTAAAACAATGAGGTTGTTTAGCTCAGTGGTTATCAAAGTGGGGGTCGCAGGCCCCTGGGGGCCGCTGTGGGGTGATGTGTGGGCCGCAGGAAGTTGGAGGGAAGATGAGAAAAACAATGCAAAATTTAAAAATTATCATAATTTTTCATTTTTGTATAAAAAAAGTGATGCTGATTTCTCATTTTCTATTTGATTCATCTTAGCTCATGATGTAAAATGAATGCATTAACCATTAAAAACATAATAAAAGTTTTTGTAGAATTATCTGTGGATTTGTAAGGCGGCACCTGGCCAGATGTTGGCGCTGTTTGGGGGCCAAAGCACAAATTGTTCTGTAACAGCTGGTTTGGATCCGACAAGCTGAAAAC